ATTGTAGTCATTTCTAGTTGTATCTCTTTTCTGATTTCTTTGCCTTTTGATGGTGACTGCTGAAAATATAGTCTCTTACAGACGAAATACAAGAATGAAATCAGAATTTTCATATTTCTTGTTGTTGTTAACATTATTTCCAATAACTCACTTTTTCATCAGCCATCGCACTGGAGCTAGTAGGCTCCTCATTTTCTTGTGTTGCGTCATCAAGTACTTTCTTTTTTTTCTGATCGGAATGAGGCAGCGACTCTTGATTTCTCTTCATTGTTCTGTTGCCTGAAAATCTATGAATTAACAAATTAACAATTCTCACTCAAAAAATTTTTTTGATGAAGAAAGCGTTCGCAAAACAGTGAAAATTGCAGAAAAAGAATAACAAAATAAAAGAACACCATATGGCCCTGTAAACTGTCTTTTTCATTTCCTTTTGTTTCTCAATATTCCTTCGTTTTTTTCCGAATTTCCGTTTTTCCCAATTTTTCTTAATTTTCCTCAATTTTCGCGATAATTTAAATTTTTCTCATTTTTAATGATTTTCTAGATTATTGATTGAAGGAAACAATCACAATTTAGATATTTCCCACAAACAACGAAAATCCCAAAAATTGGCCCTAAATGAGCTATTTTCTTTCGAAAATCGTTTGAACAGGCAATAAAACATTACAAAAATTAAAAAAAAAATTCGAAACAGAATTAACTGAGCCATACTTGTGTTCCTGTGTAAATCATGATTGATCAAAAAGTTGAAGTAAGACTCGGATGTTGGCAAACAACAAGTCACCCTATCTGAGTTTCTCGGATTCTGTTGAGAGTAAAAAAAATTAGAATCCGGTGGCAAAATCAATAACAGGTATAAGTAAAATGTGGTTAAAAATTCGGAGGGTACAATGATTCGGGGGTACAAGGGGGTACAACTGATTTAGGGGTACAAAATTGGTGATTCGGGGTAAAAAATTCGTGGGTACAAAAATTCGAGGGTACAACGATTCGGGGGTACAATGTACCAATGATTCTGGGGTACAACTTATTTCATTTAGGGGTACAACGTTTGTGATTCGGGGGTACAATTTTTTTTGACGAAGTTTCTGAATTCGAATTTCAATAAGAATTTCAGAGCTTGAAAATCTCAGAATTCGAAATCTGAGAATTTCGGAAATTCAGAGTCTGAGAATCTGAAAATTTCGGAACTTCAGAATCTGAGAATCTGAAAATTTCCGAATTTCAGAA